AAAAAAAAAAAAAAACCTAAGGTTTACAAGCTTTGGATTATGAAGTTTAAAAACTCACTAACAAAGATAAAAGGACTTTGCATTGCTAGAGCAATAAAATTCACATGACCTCAACTTAGGCTTAGAGGGAGAATGATCTGTGCTCAGCTAGTTCCTTTTGCTATGTACGAACGTAAGGATGTGGCTATTTACCTCCACGCTTTGGGCAGACTTAGTAACAGACTGTAAGCATTATTATATTGAATCAAAAAGAACTTTTTTGCAGTCTTGGTATTTTTTTCTTTCGAAACTATTGGTAGACTTATATGCCTTGCATTTAAATAATGTTCTTCTTGTTTAAGCTTTCTTTATATATTTTTTCCTGAACATCATAAATATTTTTATCTGGTTTAAGCTTTTGCTTCTCTAGGATTAGATTTTAGTTCTAAAAAGCCCCCGATAATGACCAAGCATACTATAACAGCAGAACAAAGAAGCTGCATTCCCTCAAGTAATTGAAACCACTTTGACCTTCAGAGTGTTTTGTGTGTGTGTGTGTGTGTAATTGTTTTGATTTGATCTTCAAATGTTTTCTTTTGCTATCTATGGCTCAGGAATAGAGAACTGATAGGCCAAAGGTTAGATTTAGCCATTATTTTAAATAGCAACACTCATGCACTGTTGTGAAGACTTGGGACACTCCTTGCTATTAAGACCTGAGAGGTTCAGAGTAAAAGAAGATCGCAAACACTTCACTAAATCTGGTGCCCAAGTTTGAAATTTATTTCATATCCGACTTTAATATAACATTTATTTTATACAAGCAGGAAATTAATCTCCTGTTAAGTACCCCTGCGCATCATATCAATTCATCTACCCTGTCATTAATTTAGTATATATAAACAAGTTAGAGATTCACTAATTATATTTGTCTTCATTTCTGTTCAGCAAAACTTGTATAAAAGCAAATAGCAGGGTCCCCAGAAATCTGCCAGAGATGTCTCCAATCCATGCAGTTTTTGTGCTTTATTCTTTTGTGATTTTTTGTGCAGTACAGCCTCTAATCCAAATGCAGGTCGCTAAACTCCTTCATGTCAATGCTTTTATAGGGGTGATAGATAACAAAAGCCATAAATATTGCCAATAGTAACCTTAAATCATTTAATAACAAATACAGTGAATATTCACATAAACTCACTTGCTCAGCTATGTCATAACTAGCAACTTACAATGTGCAAGCACTGTATAGCTTTTGCTATCAAGAAGTTCAAAGCTGTCTCATAGCATCATTGAGATTTATAAGAAAATATAATAGTAGGACAACCAGATGCAGCACTAACTGCCCATCTTTTGTAGGTCTTTTTTAAATTAAAGCTTTGTCGTGTTACATACATAAGTTTCAACATACATTACTTTCAACTAATACAGAATGGATTAATTCACTAAGAACATTTTTTCAGACTTCTACCCTGAGCCATCTGAACGTGAGATTTAAGATTTTTGGCTCAGATATCATCAAAATTATAGTTTGTTAACTTCTGATATGCATATTAAAAACATGCTCTAATATACTTCTAAACTTCTAAATTCCAACAGATTTTAATGAAAATTTAGGAGCCAAAATAGGAGTGTGAAACTTACATACTTTTCTGGAATCTAGGTCCAAGCGTATAAGAAATTTTTGACTTCAGACCATCTCTGTGATCTGTTTGCCCTCAGGTTACACTCTTATGCAATACTGGCAATCTCTAGTAGAACTACAAGCCCAAGAATGTACACACATAAGCATCACAGGAATTACTGCTTTCATACTCATCTGTTGTACCCCTAGGATTAACTGTACCCAGATCTAACATTTCTTAGAACTTTTCAGTCATAATTTCTCAATAAACTGTTCAGTGCTAAGCTTTTCCCTGTAATTGTGTGAATCTTCCTTGCTGCACTTTAAGGTAAGGTGTTGCTTCATCGGTACCTAGCATTGCCTCCATCCTTGCAACAGAGTTTGGCACTTCTATCACATCCCCTCCCTTTATGTGGGATGACTAACTTAATTACTGACAAGTTCTTTCTAGCGCCTGATCTGAAATACCCTAACATCCAAATCAAATATACTTCGCATCTCTGAGTGGACGAACATATCTTCTCTTCCTTGCAGCCAACTCCTTGGCATATGAAGGATGCCTACCTCCCTCAGACTTCTCTTTAAACTAAAAAACTCCTCTCCAATCTTTTTGGATGACAAGTTTTCTAGGTTTGTGATTGATTTTACCACTTTAATCCTGACTTTATTCATTCTTCTTGAAGGATGGTGCTAAAATTGGACACAATTGCAGCTGTGGCTTTAGCAGCTCCGTACAGAACAGGATTATATCACATTTGGACATCCCAGTATGATGGGTCTCCTTTAAGCAAAAGAAGGACATTATAGATGGACACTTAGGGTGGGATTCACTATAACCTTCACATAATTTCTGTGGAAGTCAACCTAGCTAGTATTTTTCTATTCTGAATGTATTCAGCTGGTAACACAGTGCTCTATTTGTCTCTTTTTGGTTGCATCTTTTTATTTTTCTTTAAATTTTTTTTGAAAGTGTGTCCCATTTGTCACAACTGTTCTCCATTCCAATTCTGTTCTCTGAGGCATGTGCAGATTCTCTCAACTTTTGAGGAAAATGCAGTTTAACCTTAACTCTTCACAGATAAATCAGTTATAAAAATACATTAGGGGGGGAAAAAAAGCACAAGAACTACAAACTGCAGAAAAAAAAAGTGCCAGCTATACTTTGCACAAAAGCAAAAAGAGAGACATTAAGATTTTTTTTTTTAACTGAGCAGATCTGTATTTAAAACAGATATGGAAACTTATTTGAGAAATTTCCCATGAGAAACTCGGAGAAATGAATTGCGTTTCCGGAAGTATAATGAAAATTTCACACAATACCAGTGATTTTTCAGTAATTGTCTTTTTATTAAGTGATCTTAAGTATGCCACTCATTAAACACAAGCTTATCTATAAAAATGACTTGGAATTGTAACTGCTTATATGGTGTATTTTAAGACCAGAATGCAAAGCTGGAGATGAAAACTTTCTGAAACAGGAAATTTTAAATCTTTGGCAACATAGGCCTGAAGTAGGTTTTTTTAAACAATTTATTAGCGCTGCGTGTTGACCTAGTTATGCGGGGCAGTTCCTGCATGTGATGGTTTGTTCAATCCGGGACCACGATTAGAACAGGTCTTTGATGAACACGGCTCGTGGGACACAGGCCACGGGCTGGTCTCCCTCCTGTCACAAGTTTGTGAGTGCCGCCGCTGCCCCGCCACCCTGCGGGACACCCCGTGGCGCTCCGGCTCCCAGGGCAAGGACAGGACACAGCAAGGCCGAGACACATGGAGCGCCCCCTCCGCCATGTCACTTGGGCTCCAAGTGCTGACGCAATCCCGCTGGCGCGCACTGCGCACGCGCCCTCTACCGCCCTCCGGGCGAGGTGCTGGCAGGGGAAGGGCGGGCGGCCTCACCGCCTCTAGTGCGCATGCGTCGCCGCCGGCGCCTGCGCACTGCCGCCTGGCAGCGGCCGCGGGCTGCCTTTCCGCTGCTCCCCGCCTTCCCTCAGGTGCCCATGGCGGCGAGTGAGCTGGACACGGCCCAGCAGCAAGTGAGCGGCCGTGGGCAGGGGGTCACGCGCGGGGAAGCTGTGTGTGTAAAGGGGGCGAGGGAAGGTCTCGCGGGGGCGACTTGGCCCCGCCCTCTCCATCATGGCGGGGCGGGGCTGTTACGTGGCGAGAGCCCGGCGCTAACGGCCACCAACGGCCACCAAAGGCCGCGCCAGTGCAGGGGCTAAGGGAGAGCTGAGCAAAGTCACTTCACTGTGTGAGCCTGCATTGGGCCTCTGATTTTGCGGCCCCTGGGAGTGAATCTTGTCACATTTCTCACTTGAACTGGAGAGCAGCATGTCTTAAAATTGTTCCTGGCACACAAAATTATGCTTATTTATTTTAATGCATCCCCTTTTCTAGCTTGATGAAATTGAAGCCCTTTCATCCATCTATGGTGATGACTGGTGTGTTGTTGATGAAGATGAAAAAATCTATTGCATTAAGATCAGTGACTGTCTGGAGCAACCTAAATGGACCCTCTGCCTGCAGGTATTGTTAAAGCAGTGTTTTTAAAAGTTTGGCACAGAACATGCCACCAGACCACCTCACAAAACCATGTTGCAGTGTGAAACCCTTTTAAATGGGATTGAGTATGGATCAACAAGCTTCTGGATCAGAGTGCCAGATGAGCTTTTCAGTGACAGTTCCTATAGCTCATCGATGTGCTTGTAACATTCTGTGTAACACTGCATAACCTGCATGCCTGTCGAAAACTAATTTCAGTGATTTTCCAGAAGGCTTTACTTAACATTGGCTTTGCATAGAAGTGAGTGAACCAGTTGTGGCCACTTCTAAACCAGAAAATGAAATCAGATCAACCTGAGTGATTTACTGCTGTATGTGTACAGTACTGAAAATAATAGATTTATTTTGAAGAGGTAACACTGATGTGCTAAATTACAGAAGTACAGAGCCCCTTAAATATATCCAGCAGCCATGCATGTAGCTGCTTCCTTGCTTCTTTTGTTTGTATGACATTTATTGCCCAAAGTCTACACAATGGAATATATTATTTGTATGTATAACAATTGTTGGAATCCTAAGCATAGACGTAAAGGTTTTCTTCATTCTTCGTATCAACAAAGCCAACTATTTTCTTCATTTGGAAAGGTGATTGTAACCCTAATGCTCCACATCAGAGTCTGTAAGTGAAGCTCAGGTTGTTGAGAGATATAGTCCAGTGAATATTTATATCAAGTTTCTTTCAGGTAGTTTTGCCTCCAGGATACCCAACTGCGGAACCGCCTATTTATCAACTAAAGTAAGTGAAATTTCTTGTCAAGAGATTTCAAGAGTTGTTTTTTTTTTCTTTCTTTTGAACATCTGCATCTCTTTTCTGAATTACCACCATTAATTGCTTAAAGTGTAAGTTGAAGTTCAGTTCAGATGACTCCTTGAATTAAAATGTCCTCAGAATTGGGATGTTTCAAGCAAGAACATTTTACTCTTTCTCCCAAGCCAGCCTCGTGGAGCTCTCAATGACAATTCATCTTGTAAATGTAATAGGTGCTACAGTGCTGAAGGAGCCAGAAAGGAAAGCTTACAGATATATCAGGCAACTCCGGAGCGATAGTGGCCTATTCTGAAAAATGAGGTAGACGTAAGCCCAGTTTGGAAGGGAAACTAGATGCTCTGGTTTTGCCAAGATTTTTAAAAAAGAAATAATG